GCAAATTAAAGGCTGTTGGCCCTCCAGAAGGTATTTATCACCTCTGTTGCTGTCATTGATCGCAACTGTACAAAAGAGAGCTGAAAACACTGGCAAATAGTCTTGGCAGTCTGGGTGCTTGGGTCTTTCCTGTGGGAGCGGTAGGGCTTTTTCTGCTGCTGGTTAAAGTGGAATCTTATACATTTAATTTATACCTTGCTTTAATCCACCTAACAAGTGTTCTTTGGGCTACAATACAAATACTCTTGAGACCATCGCAATGCAGTTCTTCCCAGAAGCAATTTTCATTTACTCTGCCCACATGTCTGTTTTGCCCTCAGGAAACCCGGACCCTGGCTGAGATTGCAAAGGTGGAGCTGGACAACATGCCTCTGCGTGGGAAGCAGCTGCGTGTGCGCTTCGCTTGCCACAGTGCATCGCTGACTGTCAGGAACCTGCCACAGTTCGTGTCTAATGAGCTCCTGGAAGAGGCTTTTTCCATGTTTGGCCAAGTCGAGAGGGCTGTGGTCATTGTGGACGACAGAGGCCGGCCTTCCGGAAAAGGCATCGTGGAGTTTTCGGGAAAACCAGCTGCCAGAAAAGCCCTGGACAGATGCAGCGAGGGGTCCTTCCTGCTGACTACGTAAGCACAGGCGGGGACCCTCTGGGTCAGTTGGGTGGGCTTGCAGCTAGAAGGCTGATCTTCTCTGTTTGTGTTCGCAGTCATAAATGGGGGGACTGTGCAACTTTGGTGGTCCCTGTTGGTGAATGATCTTTGCCTCCGGTGAGTAGGGCTGACAAAGCAGAGAGAATATGCACAGATACTCGTTTTTGAAAGATGTTGCGGCCTAGAAGTGTTGTATGTGTATGCTCAGATTAGCTACCTAGGAAGCTGATTCCTCCTTCCACACACTCGAGCATAGGAGGTGCTGCTTCTGAGATAAGTCACTGAGGAGCTGAAGAAAATGGTTGCCAGAGCAGAATCTTACTGGGTAACTTGGTGCTTCAATTGAAATAATTGACTTTTTTGCTGGTTGCCCTGATGGCTTCAAGAAGCGCCAGTTGCTAACTCTCAAAGAAAGACCCTTCGTTCTAAAAAGGCAATTAAGGGAAAGTTTGATACTAAAGGCTGTTGCTAACTTTCTGGTTTTAGCCCCTGAGTTTGGCCTGTTCTCAAACTTTTCCTCAAGGTTCCCTCGGCCTGTGACGGTGGAGCCCATGGACCAGTATGATGATGAGGAAGGTCTTCCGGAAAAGCTGGTCATCAAAAACCAGCAATATCACAAGTAGGTGCTGGGGAGTTTCCAAGTGGCACCTTTATGATGGAATTAGCTGTTCTTAAAAAGCTGTTCCACCCAGCATGCTCTCATGGAGGGACTTCCCTGTTGGCTAGACTTACGTTTGTCAAAGCAGATGTGAAAGTTGAATTATTGTCCTCTGCATCCACAGTGCAGTTGGGGTGCCGATGGTTGGTGATATTGGCAGGTTGGATGCTCTGGAGCTGCAGGCTCTGCTAATTCCACAGGTGCCAGCTGAGAGGGCCAGTAGATTCTTCCTCTCAGCGTTTCCAGCCTTCTTCCCAGCCCATTGCCTTTCGCTCATGGATTTCAGTTCCTGAGTGAGTGGCTCTTTGCCTTCTGCCCCTGCAGGGAGCGTGAGCAGCCTCCCCGTTTTGCACAGCCCGGCTCCTTTGAGTATGAGTATGCCATGCGCTGGAAGGCCTTAATTGAGATGGAGAAGCAGCAGCAAGACCAAGTGGACCGTAACATTAAGGAGGCCCGGGAGAAGCTGGAGATGGAGATGGAGGCGGCTCGTCATGAGCATCAGGTCATGCTCATGCGTCAAGGTGGGTGCCGGAATTCATTGGTACTGACTGTGGGTGTCGCTTCTGGCAGCCCTGCCTGGATACCAAACTGTCCTGCTCCTTCTTCCAGATTTGATGAGGCGCCAGGAGGAGCTCAGGCGCATGGAGGAGCTGCACAACCAGGAGGTGCAGAAGCGCAAACAGCTGGAACTCAGGTGAGCAGCGGATTGACGAAGGCTGTTCCGGTACAGATCTCAGAATAAACGATAAAAGGTCAAAAACTGATTCATGAAGAGAGCTGAAAAACATTCATGCTTTAGCCAGGGAAACTTCCCACGGAGGCCTTGGCTCCAGTCTCCCAGCTAAGTGGTCTCTTGATTAATTGATGCCCCCCCATGATCCTTGTGGGGGGGCTTAGTGGATGCGGCCTGCAAAGCTGAGACGCAGCCGAGGGGCCTAATCCTTGGGGAGGCTGCTGAAGCAGGGAGACCAGTCCGGGCTTCTCTGGCAGGCAAGAAGAGGAGCGCCGGCGCCGGGAGGAGGAGATGAGGCGGCAGCAGGAGGAGATGATGAGGCGGCAGCAGGAGGGGTTCAAGGGAGGCTTCCCTGATGCGGTAAGGGGGGCTGATGGGCAGAAGCGGGAGGGAGATGGCAGCGGCACCTGGCTTAGGGACATCCGGTCACCTTGGGCTTGTCTGTCTGTTTCAGAGAGAGCCTCCTGATATGCGAATGGGGCAGATGGGGATGGGAGGTAAGTGGTAGAGATGTCCAGACACACACACGGCCTAGAGAGACTGTTCTTTTGGCTCTGGGCACCGCTTAGGGTCTCTCTCTGCCTGTAGCTGAGCTGGGGCCGGGCTTGGGGAGACGGATCGGGTTGGTTGTGATGGATTCTGAAGGGGCCGGTGGCTGAGCTGTGTCTCAGGAAGGGTCCCTGCTTTGCCTTTCAGGTGCAATAGGACTGAACAACAGGGGGGCCATGGGGGGCACTAGTGTCCCTGCAGGACCCCCGCCTGCGACTGGCCCTGGACCAATGATCCCTGATGGAGCCATGGGAATGGTGAGGTCAACCAAGCTCTCGTCCTTGGGGGTGGGGGGAAGAGCCGAGATGGGATAGCATTATCACGAGTACTTGTACTTCTATTTAAATCAACATTTCTCAGCTATTGTGGGGAGGGGGGCTAGCTGCGGCAACATTCAAAGCAAGGTCCATTTGATAGTTTTTATTTCTTAAGGACATTCACTGGCTTTGGGATCCTTGCCTTTTGTTTTGACATACTTAAGGAGGGCTGGCAGCATAAACATCCGAGGCTTGGAGGATCTAGGATCTCTTTCAGGAGCTGTGGTGGGTTCTAGGATCCCACCTGGGTTTTCTGTCTTTGAGATCCTTTGAAAACAGTGCTTCCCCTGGGCTTAGGCTTAAACCTGCCTCTGAGCCCCCTTGTGGGTCTTTGTAAAGCTGGAAAGAAATCCTCCCCCCCTTGGATTTCTGGGCCTCTGGTTGTTTTTGACCAAAATCTTTCCTTTCTCTCTGCACAAGACCCCTCCACCACCAGCCGATCGCTTCGGACAGAGCGGGGCCATGGAAGGCCTGGGCACCATGGGAGGAAGCACGCCGGGATTCAACCGGGGGGCTCCCGGGGGAGATTTTGGCCCTAACAAGCGTCGCCGGTACTAAGAGGAAAGGGTGCAGTGCCTGGCTCTCCTCTCAAGAAGACCCCTAGCTCCTTCTTGAGCCTCAGGAGTTTGGCCAAGGCAAGAGGCATCTGGTCACGTTTCTAAACGGTGCAGCTGACACCAGGAGGGTTGCATTCCTGCAAGCACGCAATGTGAACATGGATCCCAAGAGGCTTCAGTAGCTGTGTAGTGTATGGGCCGAGCTAGGACCCCTGGCCCGTTTCCTTCCCATCCCCCAGTCCCTCGCCACAGGCTGTCCTTGGGGGCCACCAGCTCTCCCCCAGGCCTCGGAAATGCCCTTCCGAGCACTGGGGCAAGGCCCGTGGTTCTGTATGTGGCTACAGCCACAAATGGCAGATCATGTAGGGGGAGGGGGGAATAGTTTTTTAAACTTGTAGCTTTTTATTTTTTTCCTCTGGACCATTTTTTTCTTTCCTGTAGTTTTCTGGGGCAGCCGAGAGGGCTCGATAGTGGTGATGGTTCTGGGATGAATTATTCAGTGTTGTACCATTCTTTCTTTTTTATTGGTAGAAAAGTACAATCTATTGGACATAGTAAAACACAAAAGAGTTTCCTGTTAAAAAAACTCAGCTGAAACAATTGTTTGTATAACCCTAACTTTACCCGTCTTGTGTAGAAGTAAATGTGTGAACCTGAGCTGTAATCGTCTACTAACAGGTTGAGTTTGTCTCAAGATTGTTACAGGAATGCATTATTATTAAAAAGGGATTTTAAGACTTTTTCACCTTGTGTCCATCTGTGATGACTCCTGGGGTTCTGATTACTAGACGGAAAATCTGGGCAGGCTGTTCCTCCTGCCAAGGAGGGTCTCAGCCCCAGGACCCTCAGCCTCTACCTGCTGCTGGGAAGGTGATCGGCCATTCCTTGAGCTGTGCACCTCTGAATTCCCAGGGTACCTTTGCCCAAGGGCTGGCTGGGAATTCTGGGAATTGCTGTTCTAACACATTTGGGAAAACACTTTAACGGACCAGCAGTCGTGTGAGCTGAGAGGTACAGGGACCGGGGGGGGGGGTGTTTCTACTTACCTTTACTACCGGTTCGCAATGGGGCTGTGCGCTAGTTTTGCTACTGGTCCTATAGAACCGGTGTGAACCGGGGGCAACCCACCACTGGCAGGGACTGAGCTGGGTAGCTCAGAGTCTCTTGCTTTCTTGGAAAATAGCCGTGCAGCCACTTGTCTGGAGCCCCTTAGAGCAGATGTCTGTGGAGCCCCCTAAAAACGGGGGGAACTGGAGGAAAGGGGGGGGTCAAGACATGGAAGAAGAGGCAAGCTCAGCCCTCCCCTCCTTGGACAAAGGATTGATGGGATCTCCTGCCCTTTCAGGCGACCTCGTCGGCGGATTTTTTCTTCCTCTATGGGGCTGCTTCTCTTCCTGTTTGTCATTGGGATGATGGGGGGGAGGGGGGAGAAACAAGCGGCCCCACATCTGAGCAGGAGCGGCAGCCGGAGGAGCTTCTGTCCTTGGCTGGCAGAGAGCAGAGGGGAGCCCGCCCCTCCCTCCCTCGTGATCGGGAGCAGTGGAGCAGCTGCTGCCCTTTTCTGGGCTGCCTCAAGCCCCCTTTGCGGCCCTCGCTACTAAAGATAGCTGAGCCTCCTGGTCTTGCAGCCGCCCGGCCGGAAAAGGCTCCCTCCCAGACTAGGCCATGGCCTTGCTGTGCTACAGGAAAGGCTGCGGGCAGAGCTTTGACCCCGAGGAGAACAACCAGGGTAGGTGGGCAGGGAGGGTGGCTGGACGGAGGAGGGCCTTGCCTGTGCGGATGCACACCGTGGTGGTGGGGGGGTACACACACACGTGGAGGGCTCCCTTTCTCCTGACTTGTGCCTGCCAGGCAGTTCCACTGGTCCTGATGCTCTGAAAGGAGGAGGGGCTGAGAGGGAACAAATCCCCCCCCCCCCCGGGGGGGCCCCAAGAGGAGGGGGGAGCGGGCGCCTTGCCGCCCACCTGGGCGGGGGGGGGGCGCGTGGGGGGGGGGGGCCCCAGGGGGCCCCCCTTTTCTCCCCCCCCCCCCCCCCCGCCTGCCTTTGAGCTGGGAATTGATCAGGAGTAGCAGTCCTGGAGAAGAGGCCAGCCAGAGAACTTGTAGGTCTTTCCTCCCAAGAACAGTCTGGAAATGGACAGGATGGGGGAGGGGGGCAAATGAAGCTGCTTGCTGGAAGAAAACCCTCCCTCCCTCCCTCTCTCAGATGCCTGCCTCCACCACCCCGGCTTCCCCATCTTCCATGATGCCTTGAAGGTGAGGAGTCAAAACTGCGCAAGGCAGGTGGTGTTTCCCTGCAGTCAGCCATGGGCAGAACTGCAGCAATGGGGCAGGGTGTGTGTGTGTCCAGGAGGACGAGGGCCATCGTACAGGTTGACGTCCCCACTGAGTGGAGGATCTGCTGCTCTCTTCCCCCCTCCCGCCATGTCAAGACACCTGTTCTGTCCTTTTTGCTCCTGCCCTCCCCTCACCCACTCCCATGCAGGAAGGCAGTGTGTAGATAGGATAGCCAAACCTCTGGTGCCAGCGCTGTTTCCGCCCCCCCACCTCCCATCAGCAAGTGGGGGGGCAGCCTGGTTGCTCTTCGCAGCATGTTTGGGGGCTGCCAGGCTTGTAGGAGGGGGAGCTTACTCTTTGTTCTTCTAGGGCTGGTCTTGCTGCAAGAAACGGACGACCGACTTCTCTGAATTCCTCTCCATAAAGGTAGATGGTGCTTAGGAACCATGGCGTGCCAGATGCCCGTCCTGTCAGCGCACCTGCCCTGGGCACTGACGGATGAGGGCTGGCACAGCTCTGACCCTCGTAGCTTTTGCTGCACAGGCCCAGTTGCCTTTTTCAGCCATTCTGTTTCCCCAAACATCACCACCGTACCTATCTGGGAAAGGTGGGGGGGGATTTGGTGGGGAGGGAGGGAGGGAGGGTGACCGCAGGGCATGGCAGGAGGGTCCCGTTGCCATCCAAACTCAGGGCTCAGCTACAGGTCCGCAGTTCAGTGTCTCCCTTGCAAACTGCATCCTCCACACAAGGAAAAGGCGTCCATTGTAAGGCTGGCAGACCAGACTGGCGCTTGACAAAACTAAGAACCGTTTCTCTCCAAAGGGCTGCACGAAAGGCTACCACAGCCACGAGAAGCCTCTGGAGCCAGAGGAGGCCTCAGCCCAGCCCAAGAACAAGCCGTGCACCGCAGACCTGGTTCCGGAGCCAAAGTCCGCTGAGGTGCTGCAGCGGGAGAGGCCCAGGTGAGGAGAGGCGTGATAAGGACGCTCCTGGAGGTCACAAACCTGACGGTGCCTTGGGCTGGGAAGCAGCAGAGATTTCCCTTGTGTTTTACAGGTATACTTCCTCTGCATGAGGAGGTTCCATTTATCTGCTTCCCTTCCCAAACCCCATCAGTGAATTATGCACCATAAGCAGGAACAGGTCCGTGGGGCAGGGCCAGCAGAAGAACAGGAGTTACACCCCTTTTGGCCAAACTTAAAGTAAACTGGCTCCTCAGTGCCCGCATCCTGCCCTCTCTTTCGCCTCCAGCTCCGACGAGCCCAAGCAGCCGTTACTGGTGAAGGTGTCCCAGGCACTGCAGCAAGTCCTGGAGAAGCTGGACATATCCACGGCCATGCAGCCTGCCCCGCACGGCTTACCCAGCCCTGGTGGGAAACACTGTGGGGCTTGCTGGGGGAACGAGGAAGCCAGAGTGAAGGGGGGCAGATGGGCTGTTAGTGGCCACTCTCTTCCCAGCTGACCGGGGATGTCACAGGTGGCCCCACTGTGCCTCTGGGTGGCCCTGGGAAGCTGTGGCGGGAGTCAGCTGAGAACACTGGAAGCTGCAGCCCTCCAAACCTGGCTTGGGGAAGGCCCCGAGCCTCTGGGCAGTCGGCAGAGGCTGTGGGGCAGGACAGGCTCCCTTGCAAGCAGATGTGCTTGACCCTGGGGGCAGCTGCAGTTCTGTGCTCCAGCAGATTTGCAAGGCTCCAAATGGCTCTTTCCTGGCTGTCTCTTAGGGGGCGGCTCAGAGACGAGCACCGGCACAGCCTGCAAAAACGCCGGCTGCCATGCGGTGAGTTGCCATTGGGCTGCTTGGCTTCTAACATCCCCTTGGACCCAATTAAGAGCCCAGCCTTGGCTGGTCGGGAAACAGCCTGCCTCCCCAGTGCTGGTCAAGAAGAGGGAGGGAAGGGAGTGCTGGGCCAAAAGAGCCGGGTGCCCTTGGCAGCTCCAGGACGGCCTCTTCCTGCCCACTTTCGATCCTTCCTTTCTCCTGCCCACCTCCTCTTTCAGACTTTCCAGGGGGAGGAGAGCAAGACGGAGACCTGCCTGTTCCACACAGGGGTGCCCGTCTTCCATGAGGGGTAAGCATCCCGGGATCTGGGATGACCTTTCTCCCCAAAGTTTCTGCCTTCAGCTGTGATGCCCATGGTGGGGGATTGTCTGCCGTGGGACCTGGCCTCTTCCACAACCCCCTCCACATTGGCCCGTCTGGGGCTGCTGACTCACACAAGCCAGGCCCCTCCAGTTGTGCTCCCCCCTCCCCAAGAGGTGCCTGTGACTCCCGGGGGTACAAGAGGCAGATGAGGCTGCCTGCAGTTCTTAATCACTGTTGTCGAACGGATGCTTCACCCGCTTCTTGTGAGCCATCTGGAACTGCTGGGGGGGAGGGGGGATTCCTATTCTAATGACCCAAAGAAATACCTGCCCAAGCTCTCTGCTTGTCCCCCCCCCCCCCCCCCGGCTGGGATCCATCCAGCATGAAATACTGGAGCTGCTGCGGGATCAAAACGACAGATTTTGCCGCATTCCTGGAGCAGAAGGGCTGCAGCAGAGGGAAGCACACCTGGGTGACGCGGCAGGTGAGGGTCTTCTGCCCAACGCCCGCCCTGTCTGTGGCTTCGTCTGCAGCCGGAGGGAAGTGGGAGGCCGCTCTGCCCGGACAGCAGGGGATTGGACCAGCCTTGCTGGTTGCGGCTACCTGTTGAGTATGGGCTTTAAAGGGGGAGGGGCGTCTTACCACGGGAAACCCCTCCTGCAGTTTAGGAGGGAAATGGGCTGATGCCTCCCTGTCCCGTTTGGGGCCCCTGGGGAGGTTTTCTGCCTGCTGGGGATCCTGCAAGGCTGCTGTCCGGAAGGCCCGTCCTCCGAATTGGGGTTCCCTGCATAAGAGAGGGCAGGAATGTTGACCGGCTATTTTTCTATGGCCACCCAGGAGGATAAGAAGCTGGTCTCTTGTCGGCAGGACTGGCACCAAACCAGCAGCCAAGTGGTGGTCACCGTCTATGCCAGGACCCCCCTGCCCCAACTCAGCTCCATCAAGGCCAATCGCACAGGGGTAAGGAAACAGGGCCGTTGTGGGGGGAGGGCTGAGGCAGAGCTGCTTCTGTTGGCGCTGCGACCTTGCAGGACAGGGCAGAGGTCCTGCGGCAGGACCTGGGGCTGAGGAGGCTTCCTCTTGTTTTGCAGCTGGACATCCGGGTAACCTTTGAGGGGGAGAAGTTCTTCCAGGCCCAGCTGGATCTCTGGGGGGTATGTCTGGTCGCATAGCCGGTTCTTTTCTTTTGAGACCCTCCCCCCCGGACTCCAAATGGTGTCTTCCTTCCATCGCTACCCATGAAAAAGGCTGGGAAGTGGGGAGAGAGCCCCCATTTGTGAGGCTCCAGGCCACCTTCCCGCCCTCATAGTGCCAGGACAGTCACTTCAGGCATCGGGGGGGGGGACTGATCTTCCTGCTGGCCCTCTCCTTCCAGGTCATCAACGTGGAGAAGAGCTTCGCCAGCCTGTTGCCTTCCAAGGTGGAAATCGCCCTGAAGAAAGCGAGCCCTGTTGCCTGGGCTAGGCTGGAGCAGCCAGAGAGCCAAGCCGAGGCCCTTCAGCCACCACCCCGGGAGGAGGCTACCCGAGGCAGCTTCCTGGAAGGCCCCCTGGAGGAGTCAGACGACAGCCTGGACTGGTCTGAGGATGAGGACTGAGGGGGCAGCTGAGCCAGGCTGAGGAGCAGGAGGAGGCCGGGCTGGCTCTGGGACTGCAGGAGGGCAACATCACCTCGGAGAGTTTCACCCCTGCAGGAGGGCCCTCTCTTGTCCTGAAATAAAAGCAACTTCTTTCAATGGGAGGAAGTCAGAGTCCTCTGGCCAGTGAGCATGCCCACGAGTGGCTTGTGTGTGTGTGTGTGTGTGTGTGTGTGTGTGCAAGGAGGTGGATGCTGTGCAGACCTTCCCTCCTGTCTTTGCAAGAGCCTTGTGCAGCCATGCCCTTGATCTTTCCCAGTACAAACTGGTGATGACTAGGACCACAGCCAGCCATGAGCTGCCCTGCCGTGTGCTAGCCCTCCTCCAAGCCCAGCCACTAAAGCTGCTGGTCTCCATGTGTGAAGCAGCCAGGTAGGAAGGGAACGCTTCCTCCTCCTCTGGGCATCCAGGTATGCCAAGCAAGGTATTCAAGGCCACAGACCATGAGACCGGCATTAACCCAGCAAACCAGAATAATTCCGGTGGCTGCTTTTCAGACAAACACGTCTTCTGAAAAGGCAGAAGCACCCTGAAAGACGGATGCCCTTCTCTCCAAGCGGGGAAGGCAGAGGCTCAGCTGGAAATCAGCAAAGGTCCTCCTCTTTGCAGGAAACGATCGCCCGCTGCTTGGGTACCGCTTGGGTTGCTTAGAAACCCAGCCTCAGAGACTGCCACCATCTCCTCGGGCAACAGGGCCAGGGTTTCTGCTACTTTCCAGGCTGCCGTGCAGACGCCCTCTGGGTGGTTTAGCCAGGGAGAGCTCCTTGGGCAAGGATGGCCCCGTTTGTCCCTGCTGCAAGGCAACACAAAGCCTGCCTGCAACGCTGCTTTGCTTGCAGGAGGGCGAGGAGGGTGGGTCTACCACTGGGCAGGGCAAATGCAGCCTCCCGCGAAAGTCATTTTCTTGGCAAGGTCTATTGGAATGTAAGCCGACCTTTGGGGCTTTAGCTGTCCCCGCGGGGGCTCCTTTCGCTTTAACCCACGGACGGGCCCACGCCCCCCTGCCCAGGGCAGCCTCGCTTAACAGAGACAAGGGGAGGGGGCGCCCGTCCGGTCCCCTGCGAGGCCGGAGATATCCTTCAATCCGCCGACGCCCCACAGTCAGAGCCGGGCGACTTTTCTCTCCTGCCAGAGGCCAATGCAGCAGCAGCAGCAGCAGCATCACCTGGACGCCGAGCGAGGGAGTCCCAGGGGGGCTTGCACGGGGCCACCCTGGCATCAACGCCAAGCCTTCGGCAGCGGACAGCTACCGCCGCCACCTGCAGGCGGGGCGCGCGAGCCCAGGCAGCTTCGCGGCCACCGTAGGAGGAACTACGCTTCCCAGCAGGCCCGGACGGGGCGGGGCGTGAGGCCGCATGCGCAGTGCGTGGGCCGGGCGCGGGGGGCGCGGTTTCTCACAGCCGCTTCCAGCTCGACTTTGGCCGGCGGCGGCTGCGCGGGGAGCGCCCGGAAGGCAGCGGAGGGAGGCGCGCGCGGCACGGAGGTAAACCCGGCCGGGATCCCGCTCGCTCGGCCCGGCCCGGCCCGGCCCTCCGCCAGCAGCCGCCTCTTCCGGGCCCGCGGCGGCGTTCAGGGAGGGCGCGGCTTGGCCTCGGGGTCGCCTGGGACGAAGGGCCCCCGCCCCGCCCGCCCCACAAGCCCCACAAGCCCCATGGCCCGCGCAAGCCGCCCGGGGTTCGGCCCGGTCGGGCGCGGGAAGAGGGGCCCGGCGCGGCTCCCTCCTTCCCTTCCCCTCCCCGGCCTGCGAGGCTCTGGCACCCGGGCCCGTTCCCGAGGGGCTGCTCGGCGGAGGCCGGTCCTGCGGAGCGCCTGCCGTTGTGCGGATGGCCAAGCGAAGGAGGGGCCCCCCCGGGGACCTCGGACGGCCTCGTAGCCTCCTTCGCCTGGGAGCAGCTGTGCGGAAGCCCCGCCCGGCCTCTGGCTTAGGAGGGCCCTCGGCCCCCGCGCCCTCTTCCCCCGGCCACGGCGAGCAGGACGGCGGCGGCGGCCCTTCCTCCGTCCATTGAGGGGATTCGGGGGGAAGGGTTTGGAAGGAAGGCTGGGCTTCTTTCCCTCCCTGCCCGCTGGGCCGCCCCGGCTCTTTGGGATCTTCTAGGCTGCTTTTGTGCCTGGCAAGAAACTGCGATGGAGAAGTTAGGTAGCGCCTCCTGAAGAAAAGCCTGGCAAGCCCTCGCTTGTTTGAGCTGCTTTGGCAACCCCCGCTTGGAAGTGCCAAATGGTCGGATTCGGCTGCCTGCTTGGAAAGCGTTGGGAATTGGCTCAAAGCCGCCTCTTTCCTGCCTCGTTTCAGGGGCCTCCCCTCGTTCCTACTTTGAAAGGAGCAGCCTGGTCCGCTTTCTTTCTGAACTTCGCCCATGGCCACAGCAAGGGGGAGAAAGGAAGGAGGGAGAGAGAGGGAGGGAAAGAAGAAAGGGAAAGGGAGAGGAAGAAAGAGTGGGGAGACGAGTAGGAGAGAAGGTTAGAAGGGAGGTGTGGGTAAAGGAAGGGGAAGGAGAGAAGGAGGAAAGAAGAAAGAAGAGTAGATGGAAGAAGGGAGGGAAAGGAAAGAGAGGAGAGGGAGAAGAAGGATTGTTGTGAAACAAGGGAGATGAAATGGTAGAAGAGCAGCCCCGAATATACTTAAATTGTTTAGGATGAAGATTGTATTAGTATGAAAGTTAAAGGAAAATATGTATGTCAGATAAGAAACTGTACATTTAAGATACATTTATGAGGGGGGAAAATAAAAAACTCTTTCAAAAAAAAAAAAAAAGGAAGGGGGATTTTCTGTCCATAAACCCAATTGCCATTGCTGGGGATAACTTGCACTTGGCTTTTTGTGCTGGTTCTCTCTTTATTAGCAGAAGGCTTCTGGGGGTAGTGCCAAACAGGAGGTGCTTCCACCATCCATGCTCCAAAGCTTTTCTTGCCTCCGGCTGTTGGAATTGATCCTGGATCTTGTGGGGCGGCAAACTTTTGAAGACCATAAAGTGGAAAGCTTTGGAGATTAGTTGTCTCTGTGCTTCTTGGAAGAAACCTGCCATGCTTCTCTCTAGAGGCCCCGTATTCTTTCTGGCAGGGCGGGGAGAGAGATTCTTCTCTCCTGTGTTCCTGCAAATGTAAGCTTTCTGATGGTGAGGCTGTTCACGGGAAATGGGTGAAGCCGCTCGTTTCTCCTGCCCCACAGCAAGCAAGCTGTCCAGCCACAGTGACTCTTTCTGGCCACCTGCATTTTAAAGTCTGCAGGTGGTTCTTGATTCAGAAAAGATTGCCTTCCCTCTAATTCAGCGGCCCCCAACCTTTTGGGCACCAGGGACCAGTTCTGCGGAGAGAGGCTTTTCCGTGGACCGGAGGGAGCCTGGTTTCGCATGGTGCCTGCATCCCACAGATGGGGCTTCGTTTGTTTGCACGGCCCGGTTTCTGGCGTGTTGCAGACCGGGGGTTGGGGACCCCTGCTCTAATTCGTATCTCTGTTTGCAGAGGACTCTTGCAAGCCAAAGAATGCAGACAATAAAGTGTGTGGTGGTCGGAGACGGTGCCGTGGGGAAGACCTGCTTGCTCATCAGCTACACCACTAATGCCTTCCCGGAGGAATACATCCCCACGGTCTTTGATAACTACAGCGCTCAGATGACGGTGGACGGGAGGATGGTCAGCCTTAACCTCTGGGACACGGCCGGACAAGAGGAGTACGACCGTCTGCGTACCCTCTCCTATCCGCAGACCAACGTCTTCGTGATTTGCTTTTCTATTGGCAGCCCCTCCTCCTACGCCAACGTGCGACACAAATGGCACCCTGAGGTCTCCCACCACTGTCCCAATGTGCCGATCCTTCTGGTGGGCACCAAAAAGGACTTGCGGAGTAATGTAGAGGCCGTGAAAAAGCTGAAGGAGCAAAGCCTGGGCCCTACCACCCCCCAGCAGGGCACTTCGCTAGCCAAACAAATTGGGGCAGTCAAATACTTGGAGTGTTCAGCATTGAACCAGGAAGGGGTAAGGGAAGTATTTGCAGAAGCCGTGCGTGCCGTTCTCTATCCAGTGACAAAGAAGAACTCCAAGAAGTGCCTGCTGTTGTAGTCGGCAAGAAGAGGGCAGCGCAGACTGAAAGGCGTGGGGTGTTTGCGGTCCATCTCCTTAACTAATGGCCTCTTGCACTAATGGCTTTAAAGAGAACTTCCTTCAGCAAGTCCTCCTGCAGTCCAGCTGCCACTTTGAGCCAACGGAAATGAACGTATTGGCTCTAGCCTTAAGGATCAGCCTCCGGGGGAACTCTCCTCCGTGTGTTAACTCTCCCATCTCTTCCATGGAGGAGTCTAAAGCCAGGGAATGCCTTCAAAGCCCAGGGTTTCTCTGCTCAACAGAGAGTGTCTTTCGGAAGGAGGCATTGATCGGCTTTGCTTTCACATCAGTGTTGCTTCCTCTCCCGTCGCATGTAGGGCAGGACTGTGCCTTTCCAGTAGCAGAATCAGTCTGTCACAGTTTTCAACAGCACCAAACAATTTTTAACAGCTCTCCATTATTGCTGGCAGGCATGCCATCAGGCCTTGCAAACAGAGGGATGATCAACCTCTGGAGGGTCTTTATGACATCACAAGCAGTCTAGGTTCTTTGTGGAACAGCTCTGGTATCTGACATTAGTTATTTGGCTTTCAAGGTTTGGAAAGCTGAACTATAAAAAAATCTGTTTCCACATTGCACCCTTCCCTCGTTATACACTTATATACACACACAACAGGCCTAGATTAATTGTGCTGGCTGACATCAGGCACTCTGATGGTTTTTCTGCACTGGCATTTTTCTTGGCTTAAATGCCACAATTACCCTTCGGCCTTGTGATTGAGTCTTGGGGTAAGAAATTGCCTGCTATGCAGGATAAGGTCTTGGCCATCAAACCTTTTAAAAGCTGTGCTGCTTCAAAACAGCCCTTTTTGTGTGCCTTCTGTTCCCCTTTTTCCCTTGCAGATAAAACTCAATAACTACTTTTAAACATTCAGGCGTGAGTGCTATTAAACTGATGCACTGATTTAGTAGAAGCTTAAATCTTTCTATGCCATTGGTCCCCATAGAGATGCATACGAGTCTAACATTGCCTGAAATACTAACTTTGCCTTCTTTAGAAT